GTAAAAACACGATGCGAAAAACCAAACGCAAAACGCAGCTGGAAAACGATAAACATTTGAAGAAATAGTGCAGAAATGATCCAGAACTTGCAAAACATGTTTCGTTTCCACAAATATAAAGCGAACACTATTAAATTGAAGAAACAGTCCATGTCAAAAAAACCTCGGAGGAAAACTGTGTTTTAAATTAGCATATTTTGAACGAATTCGGAAAGTCTAAGGTGGAAAAGGAACCAACCTTCCTATAAGGAAACAATTATAGAAAAGGAATTTTCTTACACTGTATTCATGTCTCCGCCAGCAATTTGTGACGACGTCATTTAAAAGCAGCTAAGGAGAACGACGACACTATTTATTAGATGGCACATTCAAGCCAATGTGCTAAAATGCGGGTATAAACAATTATTGATTATTTAATATCGGAATCGAGATCAAGTAAGTTAATTGATTGGTTTGCACACACTTTTGAAACACAAATTATATGATTTTTTACTGCAGTTGTTGCCAAAACACAGTAGAAATCTTCCAATAACTTACAAATATAACGAATTTGTGATTTTAGAAACCATCTGGGACCTATTACATGTCATCACTGCCGCGGCGTAGCGTGACGTGGTGTGGCGCGCCGGTTCGCACCAGGTGTACACACAGCAATAATGCAGGAGCTGGAGTAGAACTTGCTCTTTAGCCGTTTATTTCTAAAAGAAGTACAAATAGTAAAAGGAAAAAATACATATTTCGACACTTACCCCAGTTTTCGCTCCCGCTTGCAACGCGTGGTCCAATAAAATTTAAGCAAAATGGTTCCGTTTGGCGAAAAGTTACGATTTTATACTTCAAAATATAACGGAGCAAGCGGACAGCGAAGCAAAGCGAGATGAAAACAGGGTTGCACATAAATTACATGTATTCACATTAAACAAATTTCATATCTTGACATAGAACATACTAGGCAATAACATCGATTCATCATAAACGCTAAAACACTGAACTAATCATCCACATCCCCGCCCCCGTGAATCGAGCCAGTTTCACAAACAGCTACGTCCAGTTTCGCCAGCTTGGATGCAGGACGCCTGACTATTCCGGTAGAGGTTAACACATCTGCCCGACGAACCTGCCCATCCTTACCGGGGAAGACTCTTTCTATCCGACCGCGCCGCCACTCTTTTCTAGGCTGCCTCATATCACAAATAAATACAAGATCTCCTTCCTCCAGTGGCGTTGTGGGCAAACACCACTTCACCCGACGTGTCAGCGTTGGTAGATATTCTTCCACCCATCGTTTCCAAAACCGATCTCGCATCTGCCTAGCTATGCGCCACTGTTTCCGTAGTAAACAAAACTTCTCGGGAGGATCGGTGCAACTTGGCGTTTGTGCTGTGTTCGCGCTACCCAACAGGAAATGGTTCGGCGTCAGGGGTTCTTCTTGATCTGGCGCCACAGGCAAATGAGTGAGCGGACGCGAATTTACTATATTTTCTGCCTCAACCAGCAAGCTGTTAAATGTATGTTCCTTTGGGCTTATCTCTTTCATCGTATGGTTCAGCACCTTCTTCACACATTGCACCATCCGTTCCCAAACTCCTCCTTCAGAGGGATTCTCCGGGCAATTAAAAACCCACTCAACGCCTTTGTTTGACAATTCGCTTTGCAATGCGCAGCAGTCAAGCACATCAGACACCCGCCTCAACTCACCAGCCACGCCAACGAAATTCTTGCCGTTATCCGACCGAATCCTCTTTGGCACACCTCTTCGATTCATGAAGTTCCTGATCGCTATAATACATGCATCGGTTGAAAGATCATACGCAAGCTCCAAATGTATGGCCCTTGTGGTTAGGCACGTAAATAGTGCTACCCATCGCTTTTCTGTTCGCCGTCCTATGGTCACGTTTACCGGGCCAAAGTAATCAAGTCCAGTATATGTGAATGGCCGCGCATAAGGTGTCGCACGGTCTTCTGGCAACAGCCCCATCTTCGGCGTAACAGGTCGCGCCTTTCTTATCCTGCATATATTACAGCTACTGACGATACCGCGTAAACAGTTCCTTAAATTGGGAATCCAGTACTTCCGCCGTATTATGCTTATTGTGGCCTCTGTATTTTGGTGCATCATTCTACTATGTTGATGAGCTACTAGAAGCTTAGTGAATGCATGTAAGGGTGGTAAAATAATTGGGCGCTTCGTCTCATATGGCAGCCAGCCGATCGCGTCCAGACGACCACAGGCACGCAGAGTTCCTTCATCGTCAATGTACGGCGTGAGTGTGTACAAAGGGCTATCCTTTCGCACGGCGAGTCCCTTTCCCAGTCTGTTCATTTCAGTACCAAATTGTTCCCGCTGAACGTGTCGACACAGTAGGCGTTCAGCTGAGTCAATCTCCACAGCAGTTAATCCGTAATCTGTCGCAATAGTTGTCCTTCTTTTCTTTGGCTTGCAGTTGTTTATGAACCGAATTACCCAGGCGATTACTCTACAAACTGTGTTGAACGCTGAAAATCTGTCAAAGTTTATTAACGATTGTTTAGTTATTATAAGTGCGTATTTTGGGCGAAGCTCTTCCTGGTCGCTAGAAAGGTCAGAGGTTACGTTATCAGTTGGCCAAAACTGCTCGCTTGAATATAAAAATGCAGGTCCTGTAAACCAGCGGGAAGATGGACTTAAATTCACGTCTCGGTTTACTCTCGTCGCCTCGTCCGCAATATTATGCTTTGTTGGCACCCATCTCCAATCCGACGGCTTCGAAACATTGAGGATTTCGGCTATTCTATGTGCTACAAACGGCTTATAGCGGCAATGCTTACTCGATATCCACTTGAGCACCGTTCTCGAGTCACTCCAAATGATGTAACGATCGAAGCGTACAGTATGTTCCCCCGCTATGGTTGTCATCATTCGCGACCCCAGCAATGCGGCTTGTAATTCTAAACGCGGAATGGTTAGCAGCTTAAGGGGTGCGCTTCTTGTCTTGGCCAGTACTAAGGAAACCTCTACATCGCCGGCTGAATTCTCCGCTCTCCAGTACGCTACTGCTCCAAATGCATCTTCACTGGCATCGACAAATATGTGTAATTGCAGGCACTCCGGCATTCCCATCCGGAAATAATGGCGCGGTACTTGACAATCCCCAACGTTGAGCAGCTGCTTCCGAAAGTGATTCCACATTGCGTTTATTTCTCCCGTAACTGGCTCGTCCCAACCTAAGTTTCGTTTCCACATTTCGCGCATCATCAACTTGGCTGTTATTGTGAAATGACACAGGAATCCCAGCGGGTCGAATATAGACATGATGATACTCAATAATATTCGTTTTGTGGGTACTCGCTCACCTCTCATAATGGACGCATCGACATTGTGAAACTCTAAGCGGTAGGTGAAGTGATCACTTGACGGATGCCACAGCATTCCCAAAACTTTCCCGATGTCCATACTTTCCTTAGACTTAAATGGCAACATAGACGTCTCTCCGGCCAAAGCAGTAACGACTTCCGGAGCATTCGATCTGAACTTTCGCAACTGGAAACCTGCGTCGTTGTGGATATCCTTCACTTGCTGCGATATCCTTATGGCTTCTGAGGCGGAAGGGAAGCTATCAACATAATCGTCGACGTAATGATAATCGGTGATGGCTCGAATTGCCCGTGGATGGTAGCCGCTATGTTCCAAGGCATTTGTCACTTTAACATAATGGGCTGAGCATGGGGAGCACGCTGCTCCAAAGGTCATCACCGTCATTTCGTAAACGTCGGGTGGATCCTGGCTTGCGTAATTTCGCCACAGAAATCTCTGGGCATATCGATCTTCTGGCCGGATCACCACCTGGTGGAACATCTCCTGAATATCTGCACACACGGCTATGGCATCCTGTCGAAAATGAAATAAAATAGATAACAACGGTCGATATTCTTGAGGCCCTTTCAGAAGTTGGGAGTTCAATGATACTCCATGTGACATTGCTGCGGCATCGAACACAAGTCTGAACTTGTCCGGTTTGTGTGGGTTCGCTACCGCAAAATGAGGAAGATACCATGTCCTTGGATTGCTTTCGAGGACTTCGTGAGGCTGCAACTTACGCGCATAGTTTTTCTTGACGTAGCTATCTATGTTGTCCCGGTAAGCTTTAGCGAACTCCTGGTCCCGGGCGATTCTCTTTTCGATGTTTATCAAACGTTTTAGCGCCATGTTGTAGCTTTCAGGCAGATCGACGACGTCGTTCTTCCACAATAAGCCGGTTTGATAACAATGAAGTATCTTGACCGTTGTTGCCTCAAGGATTCGTTTAGCTCGTACATCATCTGCACTCTCAGAGGGTGGCGCAGCTCTCACTCCGAAAGATTCCGTGCTGAAATAATCCTCTATCATGTCACGCATTTGATGGTCTGATGTACTGAGGTGAAGACACGACGGCTTCCTTAGTGGCATGTTATACGAAGGTCCAAACACGACACAACCCAAGTCCGTGAATGCAGCGTACGGCCCGTTTTGATTTACTACCAGTGGCTTGGTAGGCAATCCCAGGTGGCAGTGGTCTAGTCCGATGAGAAGTTTGGGAATGGCGTTTTCGTAAGGCTGCAAGGGCATCTTCCCTTTAAAACTAGTGGCGTTGCATATATCCCTTCTACTAAGGCTTTGTGAAGGAAGGTTCAAATCGGCGACACCGTGTACGTTACGAAGTAAATGGCGCTTCTTCATACCCAGACCGCTGACGCAAAGATTAACGATAGCCACCATTTCACTAACTGCTTTACCTCCGAACCACTGGATCTCCACCCGGCTTGGTTTAGCCTTTAACCCTAGTTCCTGCACAAGTGAATCGTCCATCATCGTGATCGATGAACCCTCATCCAAGAGCGCATACGTGTCAATGCGTTTATTTGGGCCGTACAGTGTCACAGGGACTATCCGAAACAACAAATTTCCATGAGTGTGAGCGGAGCAGTTGAGAACGGAACTGTTGGCAGATCGTGTCCCGGCGGCAGCAGTAGACGGGACCAGAGCACCTACCTCACCATCATGCAGCAAATGATTGTGATACCGAGGGCACCCTTCAACTGGGCAGACTTTACGGCGGCGGCAATTACGAGTTGCATGTCCAGGTTGAAGACAACTGAAACACAGACGTAGACGTTTTACCGTTTTCCATCGTTCAGATACGGTAGCTTCAAGTAGGCGGCGGCACCCTGAAACCCTATGTTCGTTTTGGCATAAGACGCATTTTAAAACGCGTTGGTCCCCCGCAGCGTATAACACTGCCCGACGCTTCGGCTCTCGACCTTCGTGATCTTGAACCATTTGCGCAAAACTTGCGACCTCAGATAACCAATTGCTAAAATTAACAATAGTAGGATGTGGGTGAATCGAAGCGGAATATTTTGCCCAGTCTAACCGTTTACTAAAGGGCAATTTTGCAATTAATTCCTCTAACAATGTCGGATTCGTTAAATGCTTGTCTTCCCCTATTGACTGCAAAAACACGGTTAGATTTTTCGTAATCGTAGCAAACGAAATGAGTTTATAGATACCGGCTTCTGAAATACAGGGAACATCGCGTACCGCCTTAAGTTGGCTACGAACTAGCTGTTCAGGACGACCGAACCTACAACACAACTGCTCTATAATCGCACCGACATTATTTGGATGTATCAACAAAGACTTGACCGCTTCTCTTGCCTCGCCCTTGAGGCATTTATTTAAACGTTGATTATTTTCGAAATTTGTGTAGTTGTAAGCAGCACTTGACTCAATATATGACGCGTAATATATAGGCCATTCCTCTGGCTGCCCGGAAAATTGTGGCAAATCCAGCATCTTTCGTGGTAACTGCAAATGATTAAATGATACTGCAGGACTCGACGACGTAGCTGACGAACCATGAAGTTGCGTGGCGGCAGGCCCAGAGGTGACGGCTAGTACATCGTTGTGCTGTTCTGCTGGCGACCATGCTGATGGACCGTAGTTTGCTGCGGCAGCCCACGGAACCGGCTGTCTAACATGCGAAGTAATGGGTGGATTAACGATAGGTTGTGACTGGAATATAGTTGGTAGGATCGCACGATTGTACGACGAATTCGTAACAGTAGTGTTTGGCGGCTCATTGAATGGCCCGTTACATGTCATAGCACCACTATGTATTACAGAATTAATGCTAAACGGCACGGCTGTAGCTGACGGAGCCCCTGATGTCCCGGTAAACATAACGGCACAATTTTGAGGTACACTTTGGCAGCGATTATTTGCACTTGTATTTGTAAACGTTGGCTGTGGCGGTGCTGCAGTTGGCAACGTCAACTGCGGTAAAACTGTATTTAAACGTTGGCGCTCGCCTTCTGCAATTTTAGTTTGTGCATCTTGTAATTGAACTTCTAACCTAGAAATTTGCTGTTGCATGGACAAAAGTAAGTTCATATTACATATATCGCTGGGAGAAGCCCCTGACGACATGGTGGTTGGCGCGGCAAAGTTAACCGAGGTGGCGTTGGCGATACCAACGTTGGCAGAGGCGTTGGTGACGTCGGCGCTGACAGAGGCATTGGGGATTTGGGCGCTGGCATAGGCGGTGCTGATTGGGGCGACGTTGGCAGGTGCGACACTGATTGGGGTGGTGCTGGCACACACGACCTTCCCCGGATCAGTTTTAGCAAAGGCACTATTATTTGTTGTATAAATGTCGCTTACCTGATGGGCAGGGCTGACTATATTGTTAATGGTAGTAGTTGGTGCTGACATAGCGGTGGTAACGGTTGTTTCAACGGCGGTGGAGGCAGCGACGGTGGCAGTGGCGGCGACGGTGGCAGTGCCGGCGGCGGTGGCAGTGGTGGCGACGGTGGCAACACAAGTGGTCCGCGTTGGAGCGCTAAGTTGCACTGCCTTGGAAGGTGCTCTACTTGTTACCTGAGCGCTCTTTGGTTTCGCTGCAAATATGGTATTTGGTGCGGGCACAGGTTTGGCACTTAGTTCTGTAACCTTTGTTGTAGTTTGGATGGCTGGCGTTGAATTTTCTGGCTGTAATCGAGGGCTACGACGTACCGGCGAACGTAGCATTTCTTAATAAATTGCAAAGAAATGAATCGGCGGGCGTTCCACTATAGTGGGAAATAAAATTTGTACACACAGCAATAATGCAGGAGCTGGAGTAGAACTTGCTCTTTAGCCATTTATTTCTAAAAGAAGTACAAATAGTAAAGGGAAAAAATACATATTTCGACACTTACCCCAGTTTTCGCTCCCGCTTGCAACGCGTGGTCCAATAAAATTTAAGCAAAATGGTTCCGTTTGGCGAAAAGTTACGATTTTATACTTCAAAATATAACGGAGCAAGCGGACAGCGAAGCAAAGCGAGATGAAAACAAGGTTGCACATAAATTACATGTATTCACATTAAACAAATTTCATATCTTGACATAGAACATACTAGGCAATAACATCGATTCATCATAAACGCTAAAACACTGAACTAATCATCCACACCAGGTTAGGAAATAAAGTCAATTTACCTTATTTCAGTTGATCTTATTGCCTGTTACCGTGTCTCACATGTGGTCCCATACTAATTTTGGTTAGATCCGATCACTGGATCATGAAAAAATTAACGGTTTTCCTAAATTTTTAAATGAGAATTGAAGTCGGTTGTGTTTTTTGCTTAAAAATTACTTTTAAAATTATTTAATTGTAATTGCATTACTTGCTAAAGAAATTGCTTTCGTTCTTCGCCTTTAGCCAAAATTCGATTATAATTTTGTATCAACGCTATACCTCGTTCAGCAATATATTAACATATTTAATACTTTTAATCGTCTCTATGACAGCCAGCTTCAGGAATTCAGAATTTAATTTTTTAGAGAATATGCCTAGAAAAACCTTTATCCCTTTTTTATAACTTTTCTTAACTGTTAAAAAATTATAAAATTTTGAATGAAAACAATTTTTTTTACATGTTATTTACACACAAAACTTCAAATGCCGACCGACAACTTTTAAAATTGAAATATAAATGTTTCCAAATGGGAGAATTTCCTTCTAAGTAAATAGGTCATTTTAAGGCCATAAATTCGTCAGGTTAGTTATTTTGGATCACCATAATATATATATAGAAGAATTGCTCGCTTAAAGTAATAAGAATAAGTGGCAAATTTGCCGGAAAACACGCCCCAAAAAAGTCTGGATCCGTCGATGGGCATGTGTTATTTTTGATTATGTACTTGGATGTTAAATAACACATTTTCTAAAAAATTTTAAGCATATTTGCGCTCCAATGCAACGAACGTACCTGTTTTAAGTCATCTTACAAATGCTTTTATCAAGATAAAAAATCCCCACAAAAAATATTGCCACTGATAAAACTTATACATATCTGGCAAAAAAAAATTACATATGGTAGGCAATAATTTTCCCTGTGAAGACGCGTCATTAGCTAGTCTTTCAGTGTTGCAAAAGGCCGTTCGCACCAGGCGATTGATTTTGCGTTCAACATTTGCATTCAACTCACGCAGGGTTGCACGAAAAAAAATTGAATGGCTAAAAATATCAAAATATTCGCCATAAAAATGCGTTTGCATTGTTCAACTTTGCATTCTACTTTTGGTTGAACGGCCTATCAACTAATCGCTTTCAACAAAGTTGGTCGCCAGCCAAAATTTAGCCATTCAACTTCTTTTCGTGCAACCCTGCGAGAGTTGAACGCAAAATCGCCTCGTGCAAACACCTTTTGAAGGGTATTACTTTGTTCGAGCCTCCAATTACCATCGCGAATTACCCCTTTTCCACGCGCACATTCTGAGTTCGATTTGACAGTTCTCTATCTCTGTGTTTTTTTTTTCTTCGCTACAAAATTTATGCAAAATGTAAGTAATTGCTTTTCGTACTTATAAAAAGTGCCAGTTTTGATTTGTGAACTGGTTTCGATAAATGTCCGAAAAATTTAGAGACGGCAACGATTTGTTCGTAATTCGCATGGTAATTGGATCTCAAAATTTAGTTTTCGAATTATGTAATTCCAAGGGTTATTGGAGTGCAAATTACGAATGAGAGACCAAACTACGTAATTGGCGTGCAGTGGGAAAGCCGTATTAAATATTATTGATTAAAATGGGGTTTCCACGATTCGTAATTCGCTCTATAAGTCATTCGCTAAGTAATTCGTGAATTACCCTGTTTCCACTTCACACATTAGTAATTCGTATAGCAGCTCTACTTCTTGTTCTTCGCTATTTATTATAATTTTTGTGTACTGCAAATATCGATGATGGAGCAAAAATTCAAGTTGTCATCAAAGATTTTAATTTATATGAGGAATATTTTATTAATTAATTTTCAAGCAACTAGAAAAAGGGCCAGCAAATGAGACCAGAAACGGTGAAAACTTCGATATATTTCCGATAAATATTAGATAAGGCACCAATTCCTTAGTCATTCGCATGGTTATTCGATCTGAATTACCTACAAATGAGCTAATTCGCTCTCAAAATTTTGTATGGCGTATTACGTAATTCGAAGGATAATTGGATGGCGAATTACGAATGGGAGAGCGAATTACGAAGCGTGGAATCGTCGTGTAAGGTGAAAGGGCGTTTGTACTGTTCAACTTTCACAGGCGGTTAGTTGAATCATTTAACTGAGTTTTGAACAATGTAAACTCCTTTTAAATACAATGATTATGCACGATTATGAAATAATAATATTCTGAACGAAATTTTTGGCAAATTTCATCACCGCTATAAAACTTGAAAAGGAGGACAAGGGGACATTTTTGCTCAAAAGGAGGACAGAGAAAAACAATGGCGCGTATTCATAGTCCAGCCACTAAGTCGAAATTAATTAAGTTGCAACTTAAATTTAAGTACCAACTTAAAATTCACTTCTATTCATAGTGGCATTGCAGACTTCTACTAAGTAGTTTTAACTTAGGTTTACGATATTGCAAAACGAGTGTGAAAATGGGCGACTATGAATAGCTTTAGTTGTAACTTAGGATAGTTTCGACTTAGTTGTGAACTAAATATGACTATGAATATGCGCCAATATTTTTGAGGAGGACAAATCGCGTTTGAGTAGTCCTCAAAGAAGGACGGTTGGTCAGCTTATTTTTAGGATCTTCTTTATTTTTTTAATTTTCGCCTCATGGAATTGTTTGTGGGTTATTGTTAATATTTTGTTATGAGAAAATGTAGGCTTGCAATACCAGTCCAGAAGAAGGCGATTGTCGCTTCTTTGTATACGCGTCTCTAGAAAAGGGATGCCTGAGTTTTCTTCCATTTCCATGGTGAATTGAAGTTTGTTATGGTATTTGTTCGTCAATGAACTACTATTTATTACCTTTGAATTAATAACACAATACCATTATATCCTTCTATTTTATCATTTTCGTTTATTTAAGACTAATGATAAAATAACTTTTTATAAATATTTGAGATTATTGGTTGTTGGATCACACTGGTCCACAGCCAAGAAAGACAAGCACGCCATTTATATTTCTTTAATATATTTTGGATGCTGATTTGGGATACGGGTAAAAAATTATTATGGTTCAATATTTCGTATTTAAATTGTGTATTCAACACTCGGACCAACAAAATTTTGTATTTTAATATTCTGTATTGCAAAATTAAAAATGGAAAAATCCGAAAACCATACAGAATTTCGTAAAGCAAAATTTTAGCAATACACTTCTTTTCTTTATCCATAGGTTTTCCGATTTTCCAAATACAGAATTCCGTAAAGCAAATATATGTATATATATGTATATATATAATATTCACCAAAATTGTTGGTCAGTGCACGATGAATCAATAAGTAACCCTTTCCGAGAACACACGCTTGGTACCATCGGCTAAAAGTTATCGTTTGGAAACGAAACTCAGGGGTGTATAAACTTATCAATGATTTTAAAGACGAATTAGTTTATGCGAAAGCTCAGCTTATGACGATTCGAAATGGTCAAAAAATACCGCAGAAGATAAAAGCTGTAAAAGTATATAGAAAACTTAAAATAATGAAAAAAGGACTAGACTTAAGTCATATCGGTTTTCTAAAAAGATTTGTTAAATATTTAAATGTATATTAATTTCTTTTGCCCATTGCTTTATTTAAGAACAAAGTGAGATTGCTTTAAGTTCAGTACTTAATATGTTAATCGTAAAAATATATTTTTTAAACAGGCTTTCTAAGTATGAACCAAATCGGACCATTAATATTGGTTACCAAATATCCCCATCCTGCGTCACCTAGCGGACCACTTCATATTGCATTGTCATGGGGTTACGAGCTAAGTTTAAAGTTTCAAGTCTCTGCTCATCTGGAAGTTGGTGAAATATTGATTGCGAAATTTCAGGACATACATACAAGTGATGTGGCCCAATTAAATTTGAATTCAGAATTTTACTTTCCAGAATTTTAATTCTACATCATTTGGTTCTTACAGAATTTTTACCCGAAATAATTTTAATTGTAATGAATCTTTCCGCTCCCTTCGGATGCACCATTCGTATCATCAGATTGGATCTTGTATACGAATTACTGCACATTTTGCAAGATTTCCCGTTGATAAAATGCGAGAAAAAATCGCCAATGAATATGAAAGCTGTATTTTACGAAAGGGTAAAAATTATACAAAAGGTTTCGGGGTGGCAATCATTTTTTATTGTTTCTGACTTGACTAGGGCTTTAAGATTTGATCAAATCTCTTTTTTATCTTCTTTGCTGGGAGCCTATTCGTGATGTCACAGTCCGTTGCGATACAAAATACAAACACGATGGAAGAAAAGTCCCTCCCTAGCGAATGGGAAAGTCCTTAGATCTGGTAAAAATAAAACAACTTTAATCACAAGGAGTGAGAAGTGTGCATATTTTGAAAGAAAACTAGACATTAGTCTACCACCACGTATCTTATGGCGCAACGGTAATATCATTATGGTGCGCAGTAAGGAGGAATTACGGTGCACCTAATCTCCTGAAACCATCTATCATGCTTTTCTTGAGTCCTGTATGTCTAATGTAGTTGATCCCACTACCCAATTATGGGAATATGGTGTGGGAAGATATATGCTTGGAAAAAACTCCAATGCTGAGGAGGAAGATGGACTTCCAAAAAAATTCGAAAACATTTTTTTACCGTTTATCAGTAGAATTCTTACACACATAAATCACGGCGTTACAACCTCCTTCA